AGGTTGGTACACCGTACTGGATGGCGCCCGAGTGTCTCAAGGAAGAGTTTTACAATGAAAAGGTGATGTTTCATTTTGTATATTTTGAGGGAACGAGACTGAGATTGGTCAAAGATATTTACGTAGTCTCGGGATTTGAGTTAAAATTCTTTATTCACTAAACACAACAGCTAATGTCATACGTTTACATAGAAAGTGGCTGGGCGGTAATTTGCATTGCCTTCAGCGGTCCTGACCGTAAATTGTTGTCTTTTAACGTTCTGCACATGCCCCACGTTTTGAATGTCAAATATCAAGGCCTATCTCATACTCAGGCTGTATGAGAAGCGAAGGCAGTCGGGAGTAGCCAGCAATAAGGGCGTTGCCGATTTCTTCGTCTTCCAAAAGTTGCTTACAAGTAGGTTGATGGCAGCTCTAACTTATCACCGTGTTGTATGTCCTCCTTTGTTTAGGCAGATGTGTTCTCGTTTGGGATAATTCTGTGTCAGATGATCGCCAGGATAGATGCCGACCCGGAGGCGGGCCTCTACCGAACGCACAATTTTGGCCTGGATCATCTCCTTTTCGCAGCTCACTGCCCAACTGACACGCCTCTGGATATGCTCAATTTAGCTTTTCAGTGCTGTTTGGTAAGTGCTATCTACGGCCTGCTATTGTAGTGCTCTGGTGCAGCTGGTTTACCTAAAGTAGAGAGAGGGCATAGCTCAGTTTTGACGCTTCAATCCCTCCCCTCAAAATTGCGCTCCTTTCTTTTTGCCTTCGCTTGCTTAAGTATGGCATATCTTGGTGTTAGCTAGCTCGACCTACGTACGTACTTGTTCTTAAGCTGTAGTTTTTTAAATTTTCTGCTCGCACGAGCAGTTTTGGCGTTTTTTGCGAGCCAGTTTATTGTTGCAAAGAAATGCGTCATCTTTCGAATCCGTGTGTTCTGCTGCTACATTTTTGTAGTACTGGGAACTTTCTGGTTTTGGCGTTTTAAGACACTGTTTTTAAATTGCTGTGTTGCGTCCAGAAGTCAAATGGTCTTTCTGCGTACTTTATTCGCAGCGAGGGTTGGAGGCAGTCGAACTAGTCCAAGTAGCGGTGCTTGCCAGTGGTCACCAGACTCTCGGCAGCCTTTTCCTCGACCGGGGATTGCTCACAAGCACCCTGTCAGCATCACTTTATTGTCGGGACCAGACATATAATTGGTAAGAGCGTTTGATTCCCACTGCGTCTTGAGCGTTTAGTTCGCATATACGATGCGCATAGCGGATGGTTTGCTCTCGTGTGACACATTTTGTTGCTCACTGTCTGTGAAATTTTTCTTTTTGG